GCCAATGACTGTAGGGACTTATCACCTGTGTGTCCAAGTCTCATGTGCCATAAGGTGGTAGTGTCCTCCTCTGTAGTAATAGAAGCTGCCAGACCCCATGTAACTGTCTTGCCCTTCAAGTAGTATAGGTTGTTTTCCCTGACACCTCGCATCACCACCATAGAATCCTTCATGACCTTCACTGTAGCATACTCTAAGATCACTCGATATCCAGCTGCCTCCAAAGTCCCAAGAGAAATGATGTTCTTCGTCAACTGCGGTACGAACCTCACTTCCTTCAACTCCTTCACTACACCATCATGCATCCTAATCCGGACTGAACCAATACCACCAATAGGACATACGTGGTCATTACTCATAAGCACGACATCCACCAATAGGACATACGTGGTCATTACTCATAAGCACGACATCCCCTCTTTCCAGCTCCTCAAAGCTAGAAAACCACTCCCTCTTAGGGTAGATGTGATATGTAGCTCCCGAATCCATCATCCACTTCGTGGAATCCGCATAGCAAACCGACGGTAAAGCAGGGCATGAATAGCCTGAAGAATCTGAATCTGAATGCTCACCAATAGCTTTTGCAACATTCACCTCTGAACTTTGTGCAGCTTTCCCCTTATTCTTCCCGGCTTTTTCTTTCCACTTTGGGCAGTCAATCTTCCAATGTCCTTCTTCTTTACAATACCGACATTGATTCCTACCAACACTCTTATAGGCACTCCTATTCCTTGATTTTGAGCGGTTGAACTGGCAACAGTTTGGATCTCGGCCTCGAACTGCTAACACATCTCCCGATGCCTTCTCGGAGGGTTCACCATCACTCTTCCTCAACTCATAGTTCACCAAAGCTGAGGTCACCTCCTTGTAGCTGACTGTAGTTCTTCCATTGATCATAGTGAGAACGAACGTACCATAATCATCTTCGGGCAACGAACACAGAAGTAGCATCACCTTATCTTCATCCTCAACTATAATGTCCACATTGGCCATATCTGAAAGTAACTTAGTGAAGTTGTTGACATGCTCCCTGATGGAAACACCCATCTTCATCTTGAACTGGTAAAATCTCTTCTTCAAGTGAAGCCGATTCTCAGTGCTCTTCGTAAGATATTTCTCATTGAGTGTTTCCCACATCTTCTTCGCCGACGTCTCGTTCATGACATCATAAATAAGATCCGGCGTCAAGCATGACCTAATAACACCACAAGCTCTACTGTTCATCTTCCTCCAAACCTTATCCTCCATCGCTGCGGGTTTCTCTTTTAACTCAAGAGTCTCCTCCAAATTCTGTGCATCCAAGGCATCTATCACCTGACACCTCCATAATCCAAAATTGATCTTGCCGTCGAATTTCGGAACATCAATCTTTGTGTTATTGATGCTCAGACTCTGTAAAATTGATCTTGCCGTCGAATTTCGGAACATCAATCTTTGTGTTATTGATGCTCAGACTCTGTATCGCCTTTGTAAGAGACGAACCTGACGTGCTTGCATCTCCCATGTTATCGATCTAGCTCTGATACCAATTGTTGTGCACGGCGGAAGCTTTCTTAAGCAACACGAACAATAACTCGAACTAAACCACAACTAATACGCAAACACAACCACAGCAAGAACAAACAATTTATGTGGTTCGACAAGTTGCCTACGTCCACGGGGCAAGGAGGGGGGGGGTTCTTACTATTAGAAATCAGAGAATACAAGTAGAGTTACAAATCTCTCAGATCAAACCCTAAAACAAAGCTCTTGATCTCTCACAACTCTCCCACAATTGGATGCAACAATTCTCTCACAAAGACTGCTCAAATTCGTCCTTACATAACCCTAAACAATTAGGTTTTGAGTTATATACAACTTAGAAACAAAACGGGTCAAAATCCAAAAGGCCCAGCCCAAACAGACTGCGGTCGACCGCGGCGGGGGGGCGCGGCGGGGGGGGGGGCGGCCGCACAACAGTCATCCGCGGTCGACCGCGGCGGTCGACCGACACCTGCTCCGAATCCTGGTAGGCTTCGTGCACGTTGGCGGTCGACCGCGGCGGTCGACCGCCAGACTTTCTGGCTGATTTCTTTGTTGTTTCATGTAATTCTTCAGATTTGCCTAGCTATATCCTGTTGAAGGTCTTCGCGGTTTGAGTGTGCCTGCTAGTCAAGCCTTTTTTCTTCCTTTTCGATCAAACACCATTGCCTAGTCGATATCTGTAGGTTGATAAAATAGGTATAGTACTATAATAACTGTGTAAAACCCAATAGTAGTTTATGAAGGCACAAAGCATTAGCAAATAGCTTGTCCTGGTAGCCTACATAATTCAAACACTAAATAAGAGCATTAAGAACTTAAACAACATTTGGAGCCTCTAAATTCTACATCTGTAACCATGATGAGCAAGGACTATGACACTGATTATGCTCCATATGCAGCTTGATTCGACATGTGTCCAAGATTTGTATGCAGTTATCTTTTGACCTAGAACATTATAGGAGATTGCTTGAGAGAAGATAATGTCATTAGAAATGGTGTATGCATATGATCTACATGTCATAGTCAATATTGTGAAGCATTAAAGTTACCCTTTATAACTGAACATTCTTAGAAGAATACTAACTGAAACTAATCAATTCATCAACAGAACTACGTAGGACTTGGTGCAAGAAAACACGCAGCCATACCAGGGTTAAATGAATGAATGAACTAGAATTCCAAACATAATATAGAAGAAACAAACACCATGAACGTTCTTTTGATGAAGGTATAAATTACAATTTAATTAACAACAATTAAATAAATGCGATAACTGCAGTATTTATCAATAATTAAAGCAGTTAATTACATATTTAAAGTTATTTCGGATTAGCTTCAAATTAAATTTGAACAGAAATAATTAACAGCAATTAAAAACAATTTTGTCTTTATGTTTAGTCCCACATTGGAAAATGAAATAAACTCTCTCGCCCTCAACCCTATATATATACACCCCTTATTCACATTCTAACACACAAGAAATAAAGCTTTCTTCTCTCCTCTGGTTTCAAAGAAATTATTTTTCTCCTCTTAAAATTTTGTTATGTTAACGGGCAATCTTCTTCATCTGAGCTGAAGCTCTGTACTCTCGTCCGAGTACAGAGGTCGGCCGTTTTCGAAGGCTTTTACCGTTAGGGGGGAGAGGATCATCTGCGTCAGGGTGATAGCGGGTCCTCAATCTTCTAGGACAGTGATTACACGTTCAGACTAGATTTTATTATTTATTTTATTCGGATTTATCTACATGTTATAACTTCTATTTGATAAATTTCCAACAATATAAGTTTTTTTCTTTAATTTCTATATTTAAATATATAATTATGAGATTTCTTAATTATGAATAGTTATAATCTGATAGGCCCCGTTTGACGAAGAGTTAATAAAGATGGATTAAGGAGAAAGATTAACATAGTCAGCACATTCGATAATCCAAAGAACTAAATTATTAACTCGTTACATAAGTTTTATTTTAACCATTATGATAATTTTTAGTGTTTGAAAATAACAAGGATTTTGACTATTTTCTTTATAATTAAAGAGGTAACTCTTAATCCTTCTAAATAGGAGTATTAGTAAACCCCTCATTTTGAGGGGTTAACTCATTTTAATCCCTCTAGAGGGATTAGCTTAACATTTCTATATATTTTGTGTTTGACAAATTATAGAGGGTTAACTCACTTTAACCCTTATATAGATTTTTTGTGTTTGACGGGTTAAGAAGGTGTTGAGTCTTCTTAACCCCTCACTTAACCATTTGCCAAACGACACCATAAGGATTACAAAAATATTTAATTATTAAAAATTTTCAGTTATAGATAGTTTTAATTTGATGATAATTCTTAAGTGAATATAAGATTATGTGTCCACCTGTCATCTTTTGATAGGATAAAGAGACATGTAAATTTCAATCGAACCCCTCAAAACTATTTTAACTTGAGAAAACCACTCTAAAGTTTGAGCATATTATAAATAACTCAACTCAACTTTGAAAATCAGAGAAATTTCCCTCAACTATGGGGCGTCTCACTAACACCCTCCCTCCTAATCTTTCACACTTTTCTCACCAAACCGCCTAACGTCATTTGAAAATATAAAATAACTGAAATATCATTTTCGAAATCATTTAATTATAAAGAAACCCCCAACCAGAAAAAAACTATTTTGAATTTACAATTCTTTTTTCACTCTTTCTCCTCTCTTTTTCCTATCCTAAAAAACCAGAGTACTTTTTTATGATTAAGGGGTATTTTGGTCTTTTATTGGTCACCTACTTGTCACGTTATTTACCAGACCTAATATACGCAAAGTGAGAAGAATTCATTGAGATATCTCAAATTTTTAAACTTGAGATGAATTATCTATAACAAACTCAAACTTAAAGGTGTTACTCAAATTTAAAATATTTGAGAGGGGTTATTTGAGACACACCTCATATTTGAGAAAGACTAAGTGTGAAAGTTCAAGAGTTTATCTCCAATTTTCATTGTTGCGGGTAGGGGAGGGGTATCTAGAATATGCTCAAGCTTGAGGAAATTTTCTACAATTAATCTATGATTTTATGGAGAGGCTCTTTACATGATCCTTTTTTAGTTTCTATATTTAAATATATAATTATAAGTTTTTTTTAAAATTATGGATAGTTTAATATGATAAAGATTATAAAATATTTGATTAATAGAATTTTTAATTATAGATAGTTTTAATTTGATGAGAATTTTTAGGTGAATATAAAATTAGTTGCCCACGTATCATTTTCTAATAGGATAAAAAGACATAGAAGTTTGTTATATGGCATATCAATTTTGTATGCCTTTATAATATAAAACGGATTATAAAATATTTGATTAATAAAATTTTTTAATTATAATTAATTTTAGTTTGATAAGAATTTTCACGTGAATATAAAATTAAGTGTCCGTATATTATTTTCTCAGAGAACAAAAAGACATGTACAAACTTGTCATTGTGATATGACATGTCAGTTTTTTATGTCTTTATAACATATATAAAGGAGGGATTCAATGAATTCTTTCCATGTACCTCAACAAGCAGCTACAACATTTCGACAACATAAAGCAAGTAATTTACGTATATATTTACATCTTTCGATCAGTCGTAAGGCAGCAAGAAGAAAACGAAAGATCACAGGAACCTGTGAATTTTATTGCGGGCCAGAATTCAGCAAAAAAAAAAAGAGCATGTATTTCTGTGAAAGAGAGATTTGGTTGTCATATTTTTATAGAGAGGGGTTCACTTGTGCTGCTCACTGAGCCTCAAGATACCATAGACATCAACAATACCAGGAGGAAACACTGGATCAGTGGCCGCCCTAACGGCGACTCTTGCAACGGCAGAAGCACTCACTGGAGGTGTAAAGAGAGGGCCAACCAGTGGGACCCGAGTCAATGGCTTCACACGCTGAAAGGCCTGCAAAAATAATACAAGTAGCTTATAATCCGTGCATGTGCATGGAGAGAAGTTTGAAAAGAGAGAGAGATAATACCATCTCGAGAGGCGATCCAATAACCCCAAGAGGTAATTTCATGCTCCCGACTTGGCGAGTGCCATGGATAAAGCCAGGTCTCAGTATTACTCCTGTTTGAGAAAGTAATTTAGGACTGTAATTCAAGAAGAAGGAAAAAAGAGAAATCTGAAGCCTACGCTCCCCCTCCCTCCCCTTAAATCATAAGAACTTGGAGACAGAAACGAGTCCATTTGAGAAGAGAGAATTATAAAGGAAGTTGAGAATAGGTATGAAGCATAAAATGTCGAAATGTACAAATGAGAAAAGCTAAGTTTAACATGACCATTGTGAATTATGTGCCTAATATCATTTGAATGTTTCAGGAGAAATCTGTTTGAAATATATCAACAAAACTTCGATGCAAGGGTTGAAATATCAGAGATGATAAGTTAAAATGTGTAGTCTTCTAGTCTTCTGATGGTATCTATTTCTGCTTGACATCAAATTTATGTGACAAACAATTACCAGATAAAAATTTCAGATACATCATAGCATAATCCCCGTCGTGGGAGAAATCAGACCCAATCTAGATATTGACCCCAACTCTTATTTTAAACTTATCACTCTTTCTTATATCATATCCGATGTTGGACTATACTCACATATTAATAACCTCAACAATCTTTCAATCTTCTCACAAACTTCAGTTGAACTTCCACAATTTCACACCTATGGGCATCCCGTGGGTTAACTTATTAGGTCTAACTCCACCTTATTCATTCTCCGACATTCTCTGACATCTTCCGGCATCACATTTTTTTTGTCTTTTTTTCTTTTTAATTACTTGGACCCGACATCTTTGGGCTTCCCATAAATTTTTTCTTTTTTTCCCCATTACTTAGACCATAATCTTAGCTCCGATACCATCCGTTGGGGGACCCAATCTAGAGTTAATGGGTTTAAAATAGGGGCTAGAAACCAATTTTGATCCAAAAGCAATAGCTATTAGGTATTAGCCCCAACACCTATTTTAAACTCATCATACTTTTCTTTCTTATCCTATCCGATGAGGGATGATACCCACAAATTAATAACCTCAACAATCCCTCCAAGAAACATGAAAGAAAATGTAGCATAGCCAACATAATATAATTTCGTTCAAACTTTGAATGAATTGTGTCTATGTTTCCACTAAAAACATCTAATTCACGTGACAAACAACTAAAAGACAAAAATTTCAGCCATCCTTCCGGAAATTCTTTCTAGTCACATATTAAATAATGAGATATACCCAAGAACTTGAACCAAACACCAAGTATACAGATGATAGCATAAACAAATTAAATTTTAAAGAATGAACAAATGTTCAAAAGCATAATATATATAGTGGAGTTAGGCAAGTTTCGATATTGATACCTAATGTATGTGCATTTGTGGTGTCTGTTTCAGACTTGCAGGGTCAAACATCACAAATACACAGATTAGACATCTATCCCTGAGGAATCAATTTCTGAACTTCGGAAAGATTGAAGAGACTAACCTCCGTAGGTGAATCGCGACAATAGTTCTGCTTCGGCAGCTCTCTGTGACATAAATGACCAATGTATATTAGAAATGATTTTTTTTGCAACATAAATGAACTATGTATTCAAAACATTTTTTATGTATATAGTTCCACGGTGAAACTAGCTGGAGAAAGTTGTTAAGTTGTTGGACTATAATAGAGTAATAGTTGGTTCAAGGCTTGAGAAGTATGAATATAGGGGGAAAACCTGTCTCCCTGAAGCCAAACGGCTTCAGAATGGTTGGAGCCAACAAAAGTGCATTGTATGCATCCTTTTCAAAGCATTGAGACTATCAACAATTCAATAAATGCTTATGCATCTCAAGTTCTCAACTTCTTATTTGAATTGTAAATGGTTAGGACTTTCAGTTGCATCACTCAAATACACTGTTAAGTTCACAAAATAGGCAGAAGAAACTGAACGTGTGTGAGAACAATACCTTCCCATCATAATATCCTCGCAATAAATAATTTACCACGCCAAAATCAGCAGCTGAAATATATACAAATCTTTTCACCCCTGCCCATACAAGAGAGAAGAAATTGATAACAATTAGAAGGCGGCATCCAATAAATATGCAAAAGGTGGACTGCATTTATCAGATAAAAGATGAAACTGCATACTAACTAAGTAACTATAGAGAATAAGGTCAAATAAGTGCTACATCACAATGTACCCCTTCATTTGCTACTTATTCCACACAAAAAAGTAGTTATTCCTCCCAAAGAAACCAAAGAAATATCTTTAAGCTTTGAGAAAGATAATAATTAAGTTCCATGAGTTCTATGCCAGCAAGCAGATTTATCAAGACAATTGCATGATGTCATTAATATGACATCAAAAATCTTGATAAGTATTTGAAGTAAATATAACCCGAATGCAGAGTTGCCCATCAGAAAACAAATATTGCCTGTTGGGTTAAAGTAAGGATTTGAAAAAATTATGAAGAGAACGTAGGAGAACATAATACATGTGAAAAGAATCTTTCAGATATTTAAGACTCTTACTGAAACACAACAAAAGAAAAACCATCTATATTCCCAGACGAAGTGGCAGGGTGCTGAGGCATAAGATAAGATAAATCATTGAGAAGTGTACCACCAAAATCATAAGCTATCATTGAGAAGTGTACTACCAAAATCATAAGCTAAGAAGGCTAGAACTCACTTCCAAAGGATAATACATCTGAATCATTAATAAGCATACCTGTCTCAGCAGCAGCTCTGATAGCGTTGATATTTGCAGTCCCATTAATCTTATACATATTAGAATTAGATCCAAAGCCCCCAACACATGATATCTACAAGAATAAACAATTTCACATAAATCATAATGATGGATTCTATAACACCAACGGAGAACATGACAGCATGTTATCACCTACAACAATACATAAAATCATAAGAAAGAAACCTGAGCATAATGGCTATTAAAAAGAGGCCGTTTAACTGCACTTTATATTCAAAACTCTCATTTTTGGAATATTATTAGAAAGAAATGTTGTGACAATATTTCTCTCCATCAAAATTTGAGAAAGGAAGATCCAGAGAGACCAAGGTTTACCGCTTAATCACTAGATTTCCAAGAACATAGAAGACCAAAGGAAAAAAAAAAACTTTCAAAGGGAAACCAAGGATGAAGACTATCAGCCAAGAGAAGAACAATAACACACCAATTGACCATGCAAAGGACCAGAAAAGCTAGAATTGTCACAGTTCCATACTCAAAGATTCTTCCTTCAGATTGCCAGAACATTTTAGTTGCAAACAGGAGCAATCTTGCATCTAATTTTAATTACAAACAAAATATTTTCAAATTACTTTTATTAAAGGGAACAAGATAATGGTCAAGAAACACAAACTTATTTGGTTGTCTAATCTTTGGTTTGGAAAAACAGGAGGAAATAATTGAGATGAACTATTAATAGAGATATCCAAAGGAGAACGTAGAATGCTAAAGAAGATGGAAAGAAGAGCAAAAGCCTATTAAATTTCAAATTGCGTATCCTATCCTCTCAAAATATCTTATAGTTCAAAGGAATCATATGCTACCATCATGATTAACAAGAATCCGTGCATAATGTATGAGTCTCCTCTTAAAGTTCAAGCTAATACATACGTGCACATGTATCATTATCATCAGGAAACCATTGAGATATTATTCATCAAAGAAGTTTATATGGCTCTTGATTTTCCTGATCCATACACTTTTTTTCCTCGTGTTTGCGCGTGTTAACGATGTAATGAAAAAAAATCAAAATGACATACCACAGCTGTCACGCCATTCATAACATCCTTCAGTGAATCAGGCACGAGAAGGCTTCCTGTCAAGGAACAAACATAAGCATTAATGACCCGTGAAAATGTGATGCCAACAGCAATGCAATGCGCCTTGTTTCATATATTTCAACCTTTGTGCCACACAACTCTGTCAGCCCAAGACTCCGTTATGGATGACCTTCCAGATCTGTGAGGAAATAGAAACACTAAATGTCCAAAAAAAGCTCAATACTAGGCTTATAAAGCAGAAATAAGAAATTTGTGAACAGAACAGGAAAAAAACAAAATATCAATAGATTAAAACAGGCAGAAACATTATACAACTGTTGAGACACATATGACACCTACGGAAATTTGTTTTCATCACATTGTTTAGTTGGTATCAGGTATGAATGAATGCAGTCTGTAATGATATCATCTTCCCCTTTTCTTGTAGATCATTTATTAGTCTAAGAGGAGCTATCTGGCAATTCCAGTTGGCAGACAAAAAAATTTCCTTAAATATATAAATAGCCTTCTAATATACACAAATGTGCTCCGTTGCTAATCCCATGTCAAGGAAGAAGACTTAGATGATGATAACATGATGCCATCATGCCACTAATCCCGTGTCTAAGGAAAAAGACTTAGACGATGATAACATGATGCCACTATCTTTCGACAGGCTCAAGCTACACTAGAACTAACTAAAGAAAGAAATGGTAAGAAACCATCAATTTCTAGATAAAACCCCACAATTTCTTAATCTCAGAACAAACAATCGTGATATTTAAGACAGCAACAAAAAAAGGCAAAAAAGGGACATTTATCTGCAGCTAGAAAATATGAAATATTTACAAGCCCACAAGTTAAACCCTGTGAAAAAAGGGACATTTATCTGCAGCTAGAAAATATGAAATATTTACAAGCCCACAAGTTAAACCCTGTGCAGAAATCATCCATCATAATGCGAAATATTTACAAGCCCACAAGTTAAACCCTGTGCAGAAATCATCCATCATAATGCAAACCGAGCCCTCCGAATTCACTGGTCACATGTGAACTGAAGCTGCACCCTAAAGCCCATTGGAGTCGAGCAAAAAAGATGATTAGAATTCCAGCTACAGTTAGTCTTATGCAATCTAGTTTTGATCTTAACTTGAAACCTCCATATATTAATCTATCTACCAGTTAGTCTTATGCAATCTAGTTTTGATCTTAACTTGAAACCTCCATATATTAATCTATCTACTTATCAGACTACTTGCAAAAAATGAGCAATGTGCAACTAGCGAATTATTTATATAAATCTCCATACTATTCTTACTACTTCCCAAAAGTCTAGCCTAATCTAAGGTCACAAACTATGAATAATTAGTCTTCCACTATCTTCCCTTTCTTGGAGCAATTTATCATATCATTCTCCCTTTAAAAGAGGGAGTACTAGAAAAACTTTCATTTCCCAAAAATACCCTTCATCTTTCATGAAATTAACCAATTTACTCTATTATCATAACTCCCAATCTTATTATATCACATTAATTAAAGGTTTATACTATAGTATAACTATTCTTTAGATTATTAAATAATTAAATCAATTGTTATAATAGTATTAGATTATCAAGTGTATGATGTTTTAATATATTGTGGGAATTAATATTTATGTAATAATGCAACTCCAATTAGATTATTTATATTAAACATTAGATTTGTAATAGTATAAGATTATAATTAAATATTTAAAAAATTAGTGCTTGTCAGCAGCATATAATGTTTATATCTCATCTAGAGTGGTTTATAAAAAATAATATAATTAATTATGTAACTCTAATTAAATTAATAAATTAATCGTTATCTAATCAAATTGTTAACAATAACTTGGTGTTTATGTGCACTTATTTAAAGGCATAGATGAAACGTTTTATTTACACTTTAATAGTTTATAGTGCCAAAGAGGCATACCAAGATAGAAAATAGTTCATACTTCTCTAATTCTATCTTAAATGGTCCCCACAAAACTTAGATTTTCTAAGGAGTAAAAATTTGATGTCCTTCTAATGGAAACATTTCATAAAGAAGAAAATCAGGAGTTTGGAAAGCTTCTTGTCGTGCATCAACACATTTGACAAGTGAGCTCCTCTTGATACCTCCAACAAATTATCACGAACCCCTTCAACTTCCATCTGTTTCATTTTACTTCCTATATAATCTCCTTCCCAGGTCCCCCTTTTCACACTCTTAACATAACAAATACTAAGTCAAATCAAATAATTAAAGTGTCCAAGTTCAACTTTTTTTTTCCTTTGCTACTCTTCTTTGCCCTGCTAATACAAGGAAATTGAAGGAAGACGGGGAGTTAGAATACTAAAAGACATGCTTCTGCCATTGAGGCAAGCTCGGCATTAGCGGTAAGATGAATTTGGTTAAGGTGATTGTTGCGAGCTTGGCGATTTCGGTAGTAAGGGCTGGAGATGATGTTAGAGGAGGTGGAGGATGTGGGTTCGATGGGCAATTGTAGCTGATTCGGTGAAGATGGTGGCTCTGACAAAGGAAGTAGTGGCGGGTAATTCGATCGAGGCAACGGATGTGGATTTGGAAGTGGTGATGAAGGTTTCGGTGGAGGAGGGTGTCAGAAGAGCTCATGATGAAGTTGGGACATGAGTTCCGTCCATTCGCATTTGTTTAATACTTTTATGCATCGATGAATGCATTTATATTATCTAAATTGAAATTTCAATAGTGTTGTAAATAGCGAAAAATCGCGGCGCTATAGCGCCGTGGATCGCGGTTGCGGGGCTTCCTCGTGCCGCTTAAGGTGATTGCAGGGATTTTAGGCGAAGAAAACCGCGATTCGCTCTAAAAGCGCGGTTTTGCGGTGGTTTAACGCTGAAAAGCGCTTAATAACGCTATTTTCCACGATTCACTCTCCTCGAACCCGACCGTACCTGACTCACTTAAATCCTCTCACCTATTATTCCCGAACCCAACTTGCCCTATCCGCCTCTCTCACGACTCTCGACTTCCAATTCCAGCGACGGTGATCTCTCTCTCTCTCTCTCTCTCTCTCTCTCTCTCTCTCTCTCTCTCTCTCTCTCTCTCTCTCTCTCTCTCTCTCTCTCTCTCTCTCTCTCTCTCTCTCTCTCTCTCTCTCTCTCTCTCTCTCTCTCTCCCCCCCTCTCTCTCTCTCTCTCTCTCTCTCTCTCTCTCTCTCTCTCTCTCTCTCTCCGGTCAACCCATCTCTCTCATAATCAAGCAGCAACGTCTTCTCTCCAGTCAACTTATCACCCCTCTCTCTCCGGTCAAGCCATCTCTCTTCCCTCCAACATCTCCAATTATCCATCTCTGTTGGGCAGCAGCTTCGTCTGCAACAGAGAAGGTAACAAACTAATAATTCAGGTACCAAAAAACATTTATAAGATTTATAAGATTATATTGATGAAGCTAATGATTGATTCTTTGCAAATAAATCTCTATTTGTTCGAGTTGTAGAATAAAATGGTTATTGAACACTTGATATCTTTATTCAAGCAGCAGTTTATTGCTTACTTACTTTTCATGAGCAGTAGGGTTATGCGTTTCTTTTTTTGGCTTTATTTTATTCAGTATATATTTCCTTGTCGACTAAAAATTAAAGTAACAATCAATGCTTTTTTATTGTTGAGCATTTTTATGTTAGAGACTTGAAAGCAATGTTATCAATGCGCGAGGTGCAATGCGGGACGCAAAGCATCTTTACGCGAACATGCACAAGGCGCAACACGATGCGCACGCCCGAGTGATGCGAGGTGCACACCGCCCACATAATTTTTCAAAATATATAATCAAGCGCGAAAAAACTATTTTTAGAATTCACATGAAAAATGTCATGATAAATAATATCTTACTACAAAATCACAATATAATGCCTTAATTTCTAATGCTAACACCTAAACATAGTATCAACATTTATAAATTTTTAAATTAAAATGTTAAATCAAGACTAATATCCAAGCAAAGGATTAGTAATGATCCTCAATTGAAGGCTACTAAAAAGGCCTAATGGATTTATTTTACTTTTTCGGATATAGAATATCAAGTATAAAGACTCGATTGAAATGTTAACAAACAAAACTATATGAGGATATGTACTACATGCAAGTATAAAGACTCGATTGAAATGTTAACAAACAAAACTATATGAGGATATGTACTACATGCACCATGCACAAAGTAAGGATGTACGCGAGGCGTAACAAACAAAACTATATGAGGATATGTACTACATGCACCATGCACAAAGTAAGGATGTACGCGAGGCGTGAAAGGTGCTGTTGCATCAAAAGTGGGGCGCTTCGCCACCGCCCCGTATCGTAAGGTACATGAGGCGCAGTGAGGCGTGCGCCTTTGAAAACACTGCTTGAAAGTTAAAGAATTGTGACAAATAACGGCCTTTTTGATAAACATGTACGTTCTTTAATTCTTTAATCTTTATAATTATAGTACTTTGTTATTATTATGTAACTATTACACATCTATTTCATGTTTAGGCATCAAGTATACATTTGTAGAATTTTTAGATTTTTTTATATGCTTTTACTTATTATTTAGAATATTTAAATATAATTATATTTGACCGCTATTTGACTGTACGCTATTTGCCGCTATTTTTCCGCAATAGTCCCAAATAGCCTTAGCGGTACCTTGCCGCGACACGTCGCTATCCGCTATCAACAACCTTGAATTTCAATGTGGTGTGTGTTGTCGTAATAGAAGAAACTCATTTCTTATCCACATCTCTTTGTTTCTTTTTTATCTTACGTATTTGGGGTAAATTGAGACAAAACAATTTAGGAAAAAAAAAGATAATTCCACAAAGAGAGAGAGAGACTTTTTGTGTGCGATAGTCACCGAGTCTATCCTTTAATGCTAAAAGAATTTTGTCACATATCATTTGCTTTAGGATGTGTAGTTCTAATTATGTTGATGTGTTTTATATAAAATTTTGTGCTACTTATTCTCTCTGGTTCATTGAAGATCCCAATAAAAGAACAAGTGTGTCTACATGTGTGCATACATAAACTATACCCCTTCAAAATTTTCACATAACAACCAATCTTATATTTAGTATAGTTAGATAATTTTAAACTATAGTATACCGAAGTTTAGATATTAATAATTAATGAACTTTATATTTATATTTATATTATATCATATTATACTATAATTATA